AATTCTCAATTTTTCAAAAGTTCAAAAATAAACCTGGATTTTGTGATTGGATATACCCAAAATGGAACTAGGTTTCCCTCTAATATTTGGTCCAGAACTACAGCTACTGGTGTTCCAGGGCAGAAACTCTGACAGATAATATACCTATTCTGATAACTAAGTATTTTTCAAACACTTCCATTTTTTTCATCTGTCAAAGGCTTTCAATTATTATATAGAATTCAACACTTAAAGAGTCCCTAATTCCTCCCTTAGTAGGTGATAGCAACTGCACTAAGTATCTAAAAGGACTGTCCCTCCCTTTCCTTATATTACTAACTGCCTGTCTTTCAAAATAAATTTCTGCAGACAAGAAGGTAAAATACAGAAATCTCTTATTAGCTTAGTTAGGACTACACAAATAGATGGATGTTGTAAGAGTCCACAGGGAACAGAAGCGGGTTCACCCTACCACAATCCTCAAAGTGAGAAAATTTTTCCTTATTAACACTCTGAAACTTTTGTACTGCCACCGTGAACCACTGAAGCACCCTGCTGAGTTTTTATAAGCTCCCTATAGTTACTGGAAGGTTGCTGTTAGGTACCCCTGAAGCCTAGTAGTGATCCTGAGCTAGATCTTAGAAAACTGATCAAAAGATAAGAATTAACCTCCTAGGGCTAAAGCTGTCCTACTACCAAGTACTTTTTTCTGAGAAGAGGCATAAGCCAAAAAGTCTAATTAGCAGAAATGCATAAACTGTGTTAAAGGCCTTCCTATGTGTAAGGACATAGAAACAAATCAGATATTGGTGTTGAACATTTGACAGCACAGAAGTAGGATTAAGAAAAAAAAAAATCTTTTTACCCATTATTCAGTAAAATCAGAGTCCATAAGACAAAAAGTGTATATTACCTTCAGCAATTTCTCTAAATTTCGCTTCTGCACCAGGACTCTTATTTTTGTCTGGGTGGTATTTCATAGCCAGCTTATGAAACGCCTTCTTGATCTGGCGGTCAGATGCATTTTTCGGAACTCCTAAGATATCATAATAGCTCTCTGTAGCCAGTATTAATTCAGTTATCATTAAAATGCAGAGAGCAAATGTGAAGACAGATTGTGTAGTGGCCATTTCTCCAGTTCCTAGAAAGAAAAAGAAATATACTTGTAGAACAAGTTATTTCACATTCTGTAACAATTTAAAGTTACAACTACAGGCTGGAAGAGGAGGATCTGTGTGTTTCAGAAGTCAATGACAGACTTGCTTCAGGTGCCAAACTTCATTCCACTATTTTCATATTCACAGAATTTGTAAGTGAAAACACTGCAAAATTCACATTTCATATGCATCACAAGCACACTTCAGTGCTCATCTTTGTTTTACACTTATCCTTAACTGAACATTCCCTCACAAAGTGACCAAAGTAAATATACAATATAATTCATTGCATCAAACATTTTAACTGGCATACCTACAGTAGTTTCACACTAATCCTAAAAGGACTTCTAAAGACAGCAGCTCTAAATTAAGACCAAGCTGCAAAAACTCACTCAATACTGGACACTGATTAGGTGATGCAACAATAGGAGCCTGAAAAATACAAGTGGTCTAGAGATCAATTGAGAGGTGTAGGAAGGCAAGACTATTAGACACTCATGCTCAGCTTAAGAAAGTCATTTAACTGACCTAAGGGGAACATTTATAAAGCGTAAATCATTCATTTAGAGTACAGAGTTCAGTCAAATAGTGCACATTTTCCTTTACTTTACGATGGGCTGGATGAAGCTTATTTTCATATTGGATTGTAGTATAAACACCTACCATATCTTTGATATCAAAGAATTCATCTGATAAATACCACTGCATAAAAAGGTTTTCATATGCAACTCTCAGTGTTGGAATCGAATACAAAAAAGAAGTCTTCTATACAAGACAAGCACTTTCAACAATAATTAGAAGTTGTAATTTTTTTCAGCAATGTATCTGTTCAAAAGTTACAGTTTGAAACAAACATGCAAGAAATTAGGGGAAAAGCTGCCACATAAAGTCATTAAAAAAAAAAAAATCAGTTCCCTATAGCCACAATCTTTCATGATGTTTATGAAGGAGAGGGCGAGCTCTTCCTACCAGAAGGAGAGACCAGATAATTTTCCAGGGCCTGTGCATATTACATTTAAAACACAGAGTGCAGATATGCAAATGTTCAACGACTAACGTCAAACCAGCAGGATGTACAAGCAAGCCCTGACCATACCAGACATAACCTGCTTACACTGAGTTGAGTGAGAGACAAATGGTACTACTTCCCTGAAAGCTGAATAAACAAATTACAATGAGTAACAAGAAAGTTAGAAAACTTCTATTACAGAGTGTAAGACTCAAATATTTGTCACGATGAGTCCAAAACCTTTGAGTACATAAGCAAATTAAGCCTTTACCTGAAAATCAATACCCTCCAAAGAAAATAAGAACCAAAGCATCAAAACTGGAAAAAGTATACTGTTTCTAATAGACAAGTCAGGGGGCTAAAATGAATCCTGTGAGGTGAGAGCAAAAGGCTTGCAAGATTAATGTACCCATGCCCTCTAAAGCATTTATTTGGCCAGCAGCCTGCATGATATCAAGTGTTAAGGGGCAGCAGTTGAAACAAATTGTATTTTGATCAGTGTACTTAGATACCAAACAGACAGTTCTTTTCAGTATTCTTTGTGCACGATACCAAACATATTTTTAGTACAAGCCTGTTCCGCATATTATCTCTCACCACTTCACTAACCTGAAACTTTACCCCTTCGGCACTAAGAACTACACACATTATATCCTTCCACGCTTTTTGGGCTTTCTTCCTTTTGTGCTTTACGGATGCAGATTTATATGTTTATCTCACACCAGAGACTGTTTTTATTTTACTTCATTTCCCCAGACCTGCATCAAGCTTGCATCATCACGTGCTGCATTCTCTTAAGGCCAATCATCCTGGTGCTACTACTGAACGCTGAAAAGAGCCAAAAAGGGCTGTTCATGTCCTTCTTCAAAAGTGAAATCCTCTTTTATAACTCATGAGAGCCTGAGATCATGAAGTCACTCCTTTTACATTTTCTGCTCTGGCTAACCATCTCAACTTCTATTGTTCTTGATAACGAAATATACCCAAGTTTGCCTTTTTCTACAGTTTTACATTAGAATTTCTGTAATACAGTTCTTTCCTGTATTAGATTTCTAAACCATATTAAAAAAGCAGTACTTAAATTTCACTGTTTTTTAAAATAACGTACATAGATCTAACACTGTCTTTGAACAAATCAATGAGACTCAAGAATAAAATGAGATTTAAATGAAAATCAAAAGCAAATGAAATATGCCTCCAATATAGGCAGCGTTTTAAACTTATAAAGTTATCAGAAAGACAGAGCAAGACTTTTAGACATTGTCAGTTCTTCAATTTACTGTTTAGAAAACACCTATTTTATATGCTGTCAATATCTTTGTGTTGCTACTATTAAGATGTTAAATGCTTGACCTCGTTGACCTGCTTGACCTGCCATTCCCGACTATTTCTATGACGCCTTTTAAAATAAAGTCTCTTTTAAATACTTACTCTGCTTATGTCTCTTCTCCATTATCTCAACTGAAAAGGGAAGGTAAGTTGCACTTTCATGGTCATGCACTGCAGTTACTTAAACTGCATTCCAGAATTTGTTAAGCTCTGCACGAATTAAGCTCATGCCACAGAACAGCCTTTTCTAACAATTATGAAGAACTACACTCTATTTAGGTACATCTTTCAATGAAGCTAAAGATCTTATTCCACAGACTTCCTACTTAACTCTGTTAGGTAAGTAGTTACAGATCTCTCAACTACCATTCACCTCAGTATAAGAACTGCAATGCCTAATATTTATCCAGAGTACTGCAGGGGTGATAACATTCAATCAGCTCATTATTAGTTTACTAACATCTGTCAACACTTGTGGGATGAAGTGATGTTTGAGGATGATGTACCTCAAATAAAGTCTGTCACATACAGAAAAAAAAGAAGCTACTTCCCCCTTGCACCTTTGAAAATAATTAACAAAGATCTTGCATAAATGCTTGTATTCGAAGTCTCAGACACTCGGAGAATCCACAGCATCACTAGTGGTCTGCCATTGCTCTGCTTACAGGAGTTGCTATGCACTATCCTGTGGAATGTTCGTGTCCTATAAGTACTTTTACAAACAATTTATTCACAGTAATAAAGTTACCAAAGTCTCCCACTGGTTCTCCTATCACGACTAACCCGATGAGTAAGCAAGTCTCCAAGTCCTCAGCCAGCTACACGCAAGTTGTCAAACTCAAGGGCTTGTAATCGCGTTGGCGTCTCCTATACTGATCCGAAAACAGATCTAGGAGAAGGTTCCTGAATTTCGCCCCTGGAACACAGGGAGACGAAGTCCTGCTGGCATCATCCTGCCTATCCAGACCTCTGACGAACTCGCAGAAGCTGGCGCAGCCAGGGCAGCGACACAGCACAGGGCCGGGGCCGGACCGGCGGTAACAGCCACCCCGAGCGACCCTGTCCCACCTCCACGTCGGCCAGGCTCGGGAAAGACCCCAGCAGCCGGGCCCAGAGGCGTCCGAAGGGCAACAAACGCCCCGCACCGAGCCCCAGAGTCGCCTCCTCTTTCTCTCACCGCCCCCCAGCCCACCTCCAGCCGTCCCCGGCTCCTCCGCGTCCGCCTTCGCTCCAGCCCCCTCAGCCACCCTCCGCTTCCCCCGAGCCCTCACTCAGCGGCCACGGCCCTTCCCCGCCGCTCCTCGCTCACCTCAGCCCGGCCCGGCTCGGCCCCGCCGCCCCTCGCTCACCTCAGCCCGGCCCGGCCCCGCCGCCGTTCCCGCCCGCCGCCGGCGCTCGCGCAGTCCCGTCCCCACAGTTCCTACACGAAGCGTTGCGCCATTGGCCGCCCGGCTCCACGTGACGCGGCGCGAGCGAGCGGCCGTGCGCCCCCCCCCGCCGCTGGGGGCGCTGTGAGGAGGCGGCGCTGCCAGCCCTGCCCCGCCCGGTGCCGCCACCGCCCCCCCCCCGCCGTGCCAGCCATGCCCCGGTACTGCGCCGCCACCCGCTGCAAGAACCGCGGCGGGCAGAGCGCCAGGGACCAGCGCAAGCTCAGCTTCTACCCGTGAGTGGTCGCGGAGCGGGCTGGGGTCTGCGTGAGGGCTGGCCGTGCGGGTGATAGCGACCGAGAACCGAGGAAGTAAATAAATGGCCGAGAGGCGGAACTCCGCAGGCTGGTGGTCGCCTTGGAACCCCGCCTGGTCCCGGGAGGCTGGAGGGAAATAACTCTCTGGGAGAAGGGAAGGATTTAGGGAATAAAGGGGGGTCAGGCTGGGATGTAATCACACACACTGCCCCCCCCGCAAGGCGGACGGTCCTTGGAGGAGGAGGAGGGAGGAGGAGGTGATACGCCAGCCTCCAAGGGCTCTGGAATAGGTGCGGAGGACCCATTAAGACCAAGAGGTTCGGATAAAAAGTAAAATTTGCACTGTTTAGCCTGCTTCGCTGCTGCCTGTGTGGAAGGGTTGTTCCAGCGGGGCAGGCGGTACTGGAGGCATCGGAAGTGCCTTCGCCTGTGTGTCCTGTGTATGGCATTGCAGGCCAAGGAAAGAGCCTGGCAGAGTAGGAAAGTAAACCTATACTGGTTCCTTAAAATTAAATATTCTCATTAGACTTATTGGCTTGCCTGCACTGTGAACAGAGGCATTGCTGGTTTGTTTGGAAGCAGCTGAGTTGGCTGGAAGATAACCAGCTCTGTTGCCAAGAACCAGTTTATGATGGCTGCGTTGTACTATCCAGCCACTGAATGGATGAGTCGCCATCCAGCCCACAGTAACCTATGGACTGCTGTGGTTATGTGGCTGTCAGTTCACGAAATGGTGAGTTATAAACAGCATTTCACAATCCTGAGAGAAGCACAGTGCAGGTAACTAAGTATTATTGTATTTGTGTTAAATAATAGTGTGGAACCATTTGTCAACAGAAGGAATTTAATAAAAAAATTGGAAAATAAATTTCACAGCTAGCCTCAAAATCTGTTTTGGTAAAATTTATACCTCAAACGAAGTTTGGCTTCAGTTTCTGAGTAGACATAATTATTTTGAGATAAGGAAGGCTTTGTAGGAAGACCACAGGAAGACTGCTTGGGAAGAAAGTTTAGTTTAGATTAAAGGAAAGTTCATTTCCCTGGCACATCTCTAATGTGGAATGCATCATAAAACAATCACGCAAATAATTTATTTTTCCTTGTGCTTTAGAGAGTGTGAGCACCACATGGATAATCAAAACAAGTTTGAGCACTGTCACGTTCATATTCAAATGTTATGGAGACGATTGCAAGAACACAAGCGTTTCATCTAGCCACTGAGTTGTGCTGCATTCCAAGTATCTTGCTCCTGTAGAAGGGGTGCTGAGATTTGATTTAAAGTGTTCTATTCCCTTGGCTCTTAACACCCCCAAAGGAGTCCTCTACTGCTTTGTGGTTTGGGGTCTGAGCCCCTTCTAGATGTTCTAACTGTAATCTAATCTCAGCTGGCCTAACTTGGCCCTTCTTTGTTTTGTTTCCTCGCCTCTCTGATTTATACAGTGATGGCAGCTGCTAAGTAAATACTGTCCACTTCCTCTTTCCATATTCCTTTTTTTTGTCTTGTTTACACCAGAGAACAGATTTTGTTGATGAGTGAGGGGATATTAAAGCATGAGCATGTTTTGGCAAAGGTACCATTAAGCTAAAATAATAACTTTAACTATCCAATCTGTCTCTTGCTACAGATTATTTTATTTTCTATCTGAAGCTGGCTGAGTCTGTGGAAAGCAGTGAGTGGTGTGTTGCAAGAGTGTAGGGATAGGTGTACTTCTTGCACCCCACAATTACAATCAGGTCAGGTGTAATGGCCACTTGACTCTGTTTCTTACAGTTTCACATACACAAAAGCTGATTATTTTTCTTGTAATTATTATTATTTTTTATGATTCTCAAGAATATTGTTTTCTTAATAGTAGTCATTTAGCAGTGCTCAGAGTTCAGCTTATGGTTTATGTGTGTGTTTGTATGCTAGAGTTAAAGTAAACTTGATATGCACCAGAGAAACATATATTTCAAATACCCTGATCCGTGTCTGAGAAGAGGCGTGAGCCAAGAGTGATCTGAATGTTCATGTTCCCATTACCTTCACTGCTTGACTGTATAGGCATCATAATGAGCCTTCAATTTCCCTTTAACTTGTGCATTGCAATTCATTAGGTAAATTACATGTTTCTTTTTCCCTTGTAATTTGTCTGACTGTTTGCATGTGTTTTCAAAATCAATTTTTTTCTCCCTATGAACATGTATACTCTTCATTTTTCTTTTCAGGTAGAATAGATGGTTGAAAAGTTAGTTATGAATTATAAAATAGTGTGTGTGCTTCTGATGCTGTGAGAAAGCTTAATTGCTGGAACATGAAATACAGGAATGTTTTGCATCTGTGTGTATTTACTTTTTGAACAAAATTCAAATCCTGCACTGGAAATACATTGCCATATTATCTGGTAATCCAAAGTGTGGTGTGTACTCTGGTGAACAAAAAATACTAGTTGTGTCTAGTAAGACAAAAAAGCCCTAGAAATACGGTTAATAAAATGAGGGTCTGTCTTAACTTTCTTTAAAACGTGTCTGAGTATTTAATCTCCCCTTAGCAGAACTGCTTTCTGAGCAAGTGTTGTGGGATCATGGTTTCTGAAACCCTAGCATAGTATAAATCAGCAGAAATTCTGCTGCTGAACTCCAGAACAAATACCCAACTGCAAATAATTTGGATAATTATTGGATTAACATGTGTGTGACATCCTGATTAGCATTTAATATTTAACATTTTTGAAAAAATATTATTTTATTACTTTGTAGGGGCAGGCTACCTTGTAAGCAACAATGAGATATTCTTTTAAAAGAAGAAAGAACGATTTGTTGTTTTGGGGTTTTATTTAATGTGTTTTTATTTGTCTTTTCAACTGCTTTAAAAAGATTTCCACTTCATGATAAAGAGAGACTTGAGAAATGGTTGCGGAATATGAAACGAGATTCATGGATTCCAAGTAAGCACCAGCTTCTGTGCAGTGACCATTTTACCCCCGATTCCCTGGATGTGCGATGGGGTATACGGTACTTGAAACACACCGCTGTACCAACTATCTTCTCTTCCCCAGATGATGAGGTAACCCAATTTTATGTCTTTTTTTTATTGTAGTACAAAGATAACCAACTATTGATGTAACACAGATGTTCTAATTATCTGTAATATAATCATATTTTATTTTAAAAATAGAATTCCTGTCCATTAAAATATTTTGTCAACAGGACTGACACAAAACAGGTATGTGATTCCATAGCATAAAGGAAGAACAACTGTCCATACTCTGACTGGAGCTTCAACATCTTTTTAAACTGGAAATTACAGAAACATTTACTATAGAAAATTTTTAATTCTTCATGGGAATGATTCTAATTTTTTTTTCCAGTGCAATTAGTCTTAATATTTTAATGTTCTTTTTAGGTCTTTTATTAACTGTACAGAAATACTGGCTTTGGAACATATGAGTTTCAAACTACATGTTTCTCTTTCCTGACTCTAATCCTTCTAACACCTAAGGACTGTAGACTGCCAAAGATATTCTGCGAAGACTATTCCATCTTGTCTTTCACAGGATTGTAATATTGGTTACATAAAAGTACTGCGCTACACAGGCACCTGATCTTGATGAAAGCTAATTCTCTTCTAATGTGTAACTGTCTTCCTCTGGAGATGGGAGAAATGTGAGGACTGGAATTAAAGCTAATTGAATAATGACTCTGAAATATGCAGGTAGTTAATTTTACAAAACAAATAATATTTAATGAAGAAGTACTTTATCTTCTTGGGCAGCTGCAACTGTTTCTACACTGCTTTTGACTCTCTAGAATGAAAAGCAATCTTCATAAATCTCTCAAATATAAAAATAGAAAATCTTTCAATTTGTGGCAATAGTAACTTAGCAGGAAATATCTTTTCTTTACCCCCCCCCGCCCTGCTTCAATATATCCCTCACTTCCCTGTGCTGCTGTTGTAATAGGGAGCTCTGTAACTGAACTTTGCTGCTTCATGCTTCTGTACTGTTACAGATAAGCTGTGTGTTTTCACCTCAAAGAAAAGGTATCTTTTCCCCACCTCCTCATTCTTTCTTGATTTGCACATGACCATAGACCAGTCACAGTACGCCTACAAAGATGGACATTGGAGTTACAAAGGTAACAAACTTTTTATATAATGGTATCGTCAAGAACATACCAATGGCTTCTCTAAACTATTTTTGCATCGGCAATATATATCTGAGAAATCCCAGATAGATCTATCAAGTTTGGAAGAATAATATCCTATGCTTCCTTTCAGTATAGCCAATCACTTCTCCACCATCAAAATAAAGAGAGGTGCCAGTTCTTCATACCTGTGATACTGTGACCTTGTTTTGCTGGGATCTCATTTATCTCTCTGGCATTACTTTTTCCTCACTGCACTTCTCTGAACATCAAGTCATATCCTGTTGGTGACCACCTCAGCAAATCAACAGTATCTTGACCTCTGGCTCTGTACTTGCCCAAACCTTAATTTTCTACATAGACTGGATATTCATGAAGATATGTGAAAGAGTTCTCCTTCCTTTGGGGAAGAATCATTTGTTCATGTGTTTCTGACTTAATTAGAGGAACAAGAAGCTAAGGCTCCAAGCTGCATTTGGAAAGCTGAGAGTGAAGAATTGTATATTTGCATATTGTTCACCACCGACTTACCGAGAAGTGAAGGCTATCTTCCCCGAAATGCTAAATGATTCTTTGTAAAACATTTCATTTTATTTCTTCCTCTAAATAAAGAATGTTTGTGGCTCAAGAGCAATGTTAGTTGTCAGCATTTCAGTGTCAGTAAACATTCTATATTGGCTTGCAAGTGCTTTTATTTTGGAGACTGACCTAAGAGTGTGAGGATAGGGACTGATAAAGAAGGAAATTTTTCAGTGTAAGTAAGGGTCTTCCTTCAAACTGTCCTGAGATTTATTCAGCCCTAATTTCAGTTCTGGTAGGTGACGATTTGGGGGACATTTACCTAACTTATTTCATAAGAGATTTGTCTTGTTAAAAAGTATAGTCTGAAAAGGTCCTTTTTCAGCTGCCAGTTAATCAGAGAAGAGGAAATACTTCATTCTCTCAAAATATTAAAATTTGAGAAGATAAAGGTAACCAAATGAATTATCTTTCTGTATAAATTTCCCGGTCCTTTTAAGACTGAAGTTTCATATAAAACCAAATTGCAAAGTTTAGTGTATTTAGGAGACTTCAGACTACATATGTACTTTTTGGGACATACACTTTACCATCATAATCCATTTTTTCAGCCTGGTCTCTCTTTTTCTCCTCGCCTTCCCCCTTCCTGTTTTTCTATTGAAGTTTTTTGTTAGTTTGGTGTGAGGTTTTTTGCCTGGCCTGTATTGAATTAGCAAAGTTGAAATTACTGCTTCTTCTGTCTCTTTGTTCTGGATGGTTTTTTGTTTTCTTTTTTAGTCCACACTAGTGCATGAGTAAAAGTTCTGCAGCTTGGTGTTTTCATAATCAGTTCTACTGGAAAAAAATGACACTCATTATTTTATTTTTTTTTCACTGCTTGTTTGCATACTGATCTTAAATGTAATCATGTAATGATGTAGTTAATGTGAAAGAGGGGAAAAAAAGATGGCTAAAAAAGGATAAGCTTCAAATTGTCTCTCAGTATCAACTTCTGTTTGAAGTCCTTTTAACGTTGCATTGTTCTGCTAAGATTTGTATCTATCGAAAAAGTAATTTATGAATTGCAAAGTTTAATTGTTAGAATTGAATTGCTGTTTTAAAAATCAGCCTATGTGATTGCACGAGTATGTTTCATTATTCAGCAAACCTGTGTTCATAATCTTTTTTTTGTTGTTAAATTCTGTTTGACATATCCTGCATGAGTAAAAGTTTGCTACATCTTTCTAAAACAACTTTGATGCTTTTTTAAAGCAAGAATCTTGTGCTGTGTACATTTAATATTTTAATATATTTAATACAATGTTTTAGGTGGTAATAGGAGATGCTACCCACTCTTTGTGTAGTTACTTCTCTTCAAGTGCTTTTAAAATTACTGGCCTATGTAAAACAGTCCACATTCCTTAGAGTTCAAAAAAACCCAAACTACAAAACAAAAAAAAACAGGACCAAAACACAAAACCAGAAACTGTTATTGCCCTTAGAGCTTTAAAATAGTATGTTAACATTTAGGACCAAAGCAAAGTTACAGAAGATGCTTACATGAATTTTTGAACCTCTGGTATAATTTTTAAGCAGTGCTTGCCTAAATTACTCTTTATGCCATACCATGAGATTTGCCTGATTTTTTTCATTTTTTTTTTTTCTCCACCAGGAAAAAGATTCTTCTCAGAAGAGTCCACAAAAGATACAGAGACAAGACCTGGAAGAAACAAATGTAGTGTCAGAGAAAGCATCTGTACCACTTGAACCTTGTGCACCAAAGGAAAATCCTGTAATTGCGGAAAATGTAGAGGAAGAAGCAGAAGTAGTTTGCTCAGCTGCATTCAGTAAACCTTTACATATTCAAAACTTTCCGCTTCAAAATAAAGGTGACTTTCAGGCAGAGTTTGTCATTCTTGGTAATTCATCTACGCAGCATATACATCAACCTAATCCTGTTTTAATGGCAGCAGCAGTCCACGGCATGGAAGCTACCAGTGTTCATACTTCTGTGGAGGATCCAGGAGGCTGTACAGCTACAGTCTTGCAATTTACAGACCCTGACTACACGAACTCATCTCTGAAGCTGAACAATGATGTAGGGCCAGTTACTGACTACACAAATCCTGTCCCTCACGTTGTCTGCTCTGGTGAAGTACGGCCAACAAGTGAAGATGCAGTTTTACTGAGTACAGTGACACAAAATATTGAACAGTTCAGTGGAAGTGAGGAATCTGTCATTGCTATTATTATGCCAGCTGAGAGTCCAGAACAGCCTGAAATAGTAAATAGTTCTTTCTTGGCTGTTAAGGAAGAGTTTCTTGACACTGAGGAGACAGATATGATTGAATATGGTGGAAGTGAAATATTACAAACTGAGCATTCATACTGCAAGCAAGACATAGACAGAGATCACCTTTGGCGAAAAATTTCAAAACTCCACTCTAAGATAACTTTACTTGAAATGCAGGAGGTAAAAACTTTGGGGAGACTTAGGTCCTTGGAAGCTCTTATTGGACAATTGAAGCAAGAAAACCAGCTTTCTGAAGAAAAACTGAAGACGGTAGAAAACTGTTTTACAACCCTTGAAGTAACTATAATACAGTAAAGGCTTTCACTGATAATTCTAAAATATCTTTTTAGTCTCTTTGACTGTCCTTTTGGACAAATTAACTTTTGTTTCAGTCACAGTGTTCTAAACATCTAATGCAAATTGTGTGACTAGCAAATATTCTTTAAATGTTACATCAGCCAAAACTGGGTGGTAGACTATTGGCTGTAAAACATGACTTGCAAGTAAGCCTAAAACAAAACCCCTCAATTGGGTGAATTTTTCTGAAAAAGTGAGTGAATTGAATCATAAAGTTAAATAACCCTTTCTAGCTGCAACCTTCTCCAAAACGTGCGACTCCTGTATTTGAGGCAGCAGTTAGAACAGACAGAATAAGCATATGGGATGGACAATTATAAAACTCCTGTTTGGAAAAAAAAAAAAAAGTGTCCCAATTCTCTTTCAAATGAGTAAGAAGATATGTAATATGCATTGTTCAGTGAGGCCACAATTGCTCTTTACCCTTCTGTACATCTAACATTTGTTCTGATAGTTTTTTGTACGCTTGGATCTTATTAAAATTGTTTCTGCAATAAAAGGTGTTGCCTTTCATTCGGTTCTAGAAACAAAATTCTCTAAGAATATTGTTCACTCTCCTTTATTGATTTTAATAACTTTCTAGTTATGGGGTACCACTACAGTAGACAGATACTACAGTTCATTTTGAGAGAAATTAATTTGCTTAAATATTTGCTGCTTACTCTCTGTTTGCCACCCATTGGATCTAGAGTTTGCTCTACGCAGAACCAGCACCATCCATTCCAACTGTACGTTGTGGCTGGGCTGGATGATCGTTGTAGGTTCCTCAAGCTGAACTATTCTGGAATATTCTGTTCCACAATGATTAGATTACTTGAGGAACTTGGTTGTATTTTCCTTTATTCCAAAATTGTGTCTTCCCCACCACTACAAGTTCAGTCCAGGACTGGAGCAAGCGGATTCCATTGCAATCTGTTGTTCGTATTCTCTCTCAGACACATTCTAAACTGTCCTGGTAATTTCTTCATATGGAATCGAGGATCAAGCAACACTAATTACAAAGCTGACCTCCAACTAGATAGGTTGCAAACTAGTCACGTTACAGAAAATTTTTGAGACTTCCAGTGTCTGTGCAGAAGTTGGACTGCTAAAACACAGAGCTGTAGGAGATTAGTCTGTATCAGTAACCAGTTAAGCTAAGTAATCAGGCTTGTTTTGTTCTTCAACTAGTTAACTTCTTGTAGGCTTTAAGCACAGGATATGCTTGGTACTATTCCTAAAGGACATAAAGGTCTTTTTGATGAATTATTTACCGGAAGTCTGTGACCCACTCATTTTATTCCCTCTTATTATCTCCCTGTAACAAAAGAACACTCCGTTCTGCCTTGTGTGCTCTGAAATCACAAGGGATGTCCTGTATCCTCTAGAAACATTGCTGTTATATAGAATCCAATCTTGTGAACATTTTTCAGGTGTCTTCTCTGAACTGCACATTTTGTAATTTTTGTAAAGAGATCTTTCAAAGTGATTTACAAAATGCTATATGAAATTGCTAAATGAAATGGCAATTTTAGAGATTTCATTAATGTCACTACAAATCCTTTGCTAACCCTGTATATTTTAAGGCTGAATGCACAGTTCAGAAGTACACTCTAGGTTTTAGATGGCAATGAGAGCTTGGACATGGCAAAAGAGTTGCTATACTTCAAGCTATTGTCTCAGCAAAGCTCTATTCCCAAAGAAAATGTGGGGGTTTTAACACAGTATTTGCATTGCTGATATATTTTGCTTTTAGTAATAGTTTCCAGTATTAAAATTAAAAATGTTATTTTTGCCATAGATTTCTTTAAACCTGGGGAAAAAAACCAGAAATGCTTGATTTTCCTTTTTTTTTTTGTTTTTGTTTTTGTTTTACAGAGTTTCTTAGGACTATGTCAGAACAACTCAGTAACTCTACAAGTCTGTCACCAGATCAACATTTAGCATTGTAGGTGGCTCCTGTTGCTTACAGGAAGATGCAGCTGGTTCATTTGCTTCAGTAATAAGCTGACACTGAATTACTCAGGCTAATTATTACAAGGAAAGCAAAGTAGCATGTTGGAAGTGGCCACACCCCACCCCACTGAATTAGATGCTACATGTACATTTTGTTTTCAGTGTTTCCTAATCATAAACTATACAGCCTTTGCACACAATTTGATTTCACCAAACCTCATGGGCACTTGAAGGTTCTGTATTACTCCTTAAGATCCCGTGGAAACTGCTTTTATACAGTCACAACCCCAGCATCAAAGTAGTGCACTGAATCATCGTTCCTTCTGTAATGTGTTGGGCTTATCTTGATCCAAGTCAAATGTCCTCACTTAGGTTTTCCATAAATTTCATTTGCATCACCTTCTTTTTTTTTTCCTTCCTTTCCTTTTGCCTTCCATTTCCACTAATGTAATTCATTATTTCAGTACTTTATAGATTTAACAGATGGCATCTGTTTTATTAATCCACCCCTTGAACTGCTCAGTTGTATTTCTTTGCCACTGTCCGCTGGCTACTGTAGGAATTTGGTATTTGCTTTCTCATATATCTTCATTTCAATTCCACCGGTTTTATTAAACTTGCCTACAAGCAGTGTGGTTCCATCTGGAATAAATTGGTGCCCATGTCCTCTGATTTTCCATCTTCTTTATGAGGTGGAGTGTGAAGTTTTATTTCTCTCATTCTTAATGCAGGGACAGCTACAGGGGATTTTTTCTTTCTGTCAGACTAATAAGTATCCAGGACTTCTGTGCTTTCTTGCATCACTGGTGCAAATATTGACTGCACTCTTCCATGCATTACAAGCATTCATTACAAGTCTGTCTAGATCTCTCGTTAGATGTCTTTGACCCTTTCTCAGTCTTTTTACCACAGTGAAGTTGTAGTTATTCCACTTAAACTCTCTCCTACTCTTGAGACTTGGCTCCTGCATTAGAAAAGCTAGCAGCAGACCCGGGCTCACTCAAAATGCCTTAATGGTTAGTAATTGTTACCTCTTTTCTGTTTTGCCCAAGTGAGTCCACGATGGGTGCTCTGGATGGGTGCCGTGGGGTCCAGCTGTGCCCACGTCTACCACAGCCACCTGCTCTGCCTCCAGTCAAGGGACCCCCTGGGACTGCAGTGCTGCTGGACTTTAATGGCACAGTTCCACTCGTGCTAGAGGCTGCCTTCTCTTCAGTTAACCTATATGCCACATTTTAAAAATTCCCTTCATCTCCTAACATCTTCTGTAATGGATACATTTCCTTCATACCTAACCACACTGCTGCTTTTGGCTGGTACTGTTAATTTTCTTGACAGTGGCTGGTGTGGGGCTGTGGTTTGGATTTGTGCTGGAAACAGTGTTGATAACACAGGAATGTTTCAGCTATTGCTGAGCAGACCTTACAAGCCTTTTTCTACCTCTCACCCCACCCCACCAGCAGGGAGGGTACACAAGGAGTTGTGAGGGGACACAGCCAGAACAGCTGATGCCAACTGACCAAAGGGACCCCAGACCATGTGGTGTCACGCTCAGCATATAAAGCTGGGGCAAGAAGAAGGAAGAGAGGTATGTTTGGAGTGAAGGCATTTGTCTTCCCCAGTCACCCATGATGGAGCCCTGCTTTCCTTGGGATGGCTGAACACCTGCCTGCCTATTGGAAGTGGTAAATGAATTCCTTGTTTTGCTTTGTTTACATGTACAGTTTTTTCTTTCCATATGAAACTGACTTTATCTCAACCCACAAATTCTCTCTACTTTTCTGATTCTCTCCCCCATCCCACAATGGGAGAGTGAGCAAGTGGCTATGGTTGCCCACAGGTTAAACCACAACACACAATTTGGTCCCCACTGCCCTGTGTACTACTCGTCCTGCTCTATCCATACTGGATAATGCCGCTTAACTGCAGGTTAAAGTCATACATGCAAATCCACCCTCCTGCAGTTCAGCCTGTATCCAGTACTGCCTCAGCAAAGCGCTAGGCACAGCTTTTCCAGCCTTTCCATATCGCAGATGGTCTAACACCCAGAGACCCTATCACATTGCCAGGTGAGGGCTCATGCTGGCATGGGCTGCCTGCAGGCTCTGGACTCCTACCAGAGTTAGTTAATTATGTCGGTGACGGTGGTAGACTCTGTTTGGCAGGATGTGTTATTTCTAAACCCACTGAGGTATGTGTTCAAATTCCTTTGCTCTTTAGAGATTTTAAACTTCATAATGACAGTAGGGCAATGAAATCCAGAGCCTGCTTTTATGAGAGATTGTGTCTGCCCAGTGAGAGGCACCAGGAAGGACCTACCTGCTTTCTGGGCAAAACCAGGAGACATTGTGAGCAGCAGACAATATTTTAAGCACCCAGGAAGAACTAGACAAATTCCACACCTAGCCTTGAGGAAAAGTCTAAGACATGGGATAGTGGTGAATGACTTGGTCCTTTTTCCATAAAGTCCACAAGCAGGAAGCCTCATGCTGTGTTGTCTTGGGAGAGATACTCAAGGCATGGGAAATGCTCAGGAGACAGGGAGTAAGGAGTGGGCTTTGGTATTTGCCGTGGCAAAAGTGCATTCCTGCAGAGCATCTCTGCTATGCCAGTGCAGCACCATCTGCAGGTGCTGTCCCTTCTCTGGATTCCTGCATGCTAGGCACAGCTCAAAGATACAGGGAAAACCAAGTAATGCACTGGAAGGCATGGGTTACCAGCACCAAGGCAAGAGGGAAGAGAAACAGAAAGGGAAAAGGACAAGTTATATGCTCATTAATGACTTAAACATTAACTTAGATTTGGACAAAAAGTGTTCTTTGCTCATTTACAAAAGAATTTTATGACTTACTTACACAAACTAATTTAAATTTCTGCAACCCTAAGTGGATCTCTGGAAATACTTTAGCATTTTGTTCATGCTAGATCTTATAACAATACTATTGCTCTGTTTTCTCCTTCACTGAAAACAGTGTAATGCCTTTCTAATTTACCAGACCACTTAGTGCTGAAGAGATCTGAGTTTCAGCCAAAATATTTTCCACAAAGAAAACAAGAAGAACAAAACATCTAAACAGAGACTTTTTCCAGTAAATATATCTCTTTTCATTATTAAATATTATGGGGTACAATGCAAAAAGTCTATAACCATTTAAATATCTGCCTTTCCTAAAAAGGACACTTAGACTGAAAGCGCAAAACAATTTAGAAGCCTGATTCATAGCCATTCAAAATGGTTAAACTGTAGAGATGCTTTTGGAATATATCTATATTTATATATAAAAGCAGTATATATTGCATGTATCTGAAGCAGCAGTGTTCCCTGTAAGCAGCAGGTGGTGCTATTGGATCGTTCTGTAGGAGTCAGGGTAAAGACCTGCATTTAATTTTTTATTCTGTTGTTATTGAAACCGTATGCAAACAGATTAACTATGGGCGGCAGGGGGAGGAGGTGTTTGCTTATATTTCAGATGTATCTATAATAAAGAGGAGTGGTATATAAACAAAACAGGATGAATAATTTGCTTCAATATTACAAAAATAAAGCTTCAGACAAGAAGAAACTTATTTATATTCTGAGCATAAAACATGAAATTTGAGAGCCT